TTCCTGGCAGATCTCTATCATGTACTCATTTTAAGCCTTGCAAAACAAACACAAAAAAAAGCAAGAAAAACTTACTTTAGACAGTACATTAGGCACCAACACTTACCCTGTTGAAGAGGCTGTGTATTTGTACTGGGATTTTGACTGGCTGACTGGGTAGAACCATTGGCTGTTGTGGCAGTAACGAGTCTGACATAATGGAACTTGCTTCCAGGTACCTGAATCTGCTGAACATTGGGTGCAGTTGCCAAAGGAATAATTGTCTTAAATTGAGATGTACCCACTCCTCCTACAGTAATGGTCTGCACTGCTGACTTCACAGCCTGTTAACCCAACACAGAGAGCACAAGGTTACTTGTATAGGCAGAGAGAATATCAGCATGTGTATTCCTCAATTTGTTAGTGAGCAACTCTTTAACCCATTCGTATCCTTGAGAAGCAAGTCAGTTATGCCCATTTTTGCTTTCAAAAGTAAGACAGATGCAAAATTTAATGCCTCTGAGGAGCTCGGAGCAAACTCAGCTCCATTTTTAATGCTCTCCACCAAACACTGACGCAAACGAACATTTATGTGCCTAGGGTGACTCAGTTCACTTCCCAAGATACACTGGCTGCCAAAATGACTTTAGGTGACTACAGAGAACATTGCTCACTTCGTATTCAAAATCAAGCAATGACTAAACCTAGAAATACTACTACTAATAAACACATGTAGTAACAACTTGCAGAAGGGTTTGTGTTGGAGTCTGGCGTGATGTATCTCTGTGTGTACAGATACATCCTATTAAGACAGTTTGGGATTAATAAACAGAAATCCCTGTGCAGTCCTTGAGAAGGAAATGGAAATGTCCATAAACTGATAGCTGAAGACATCAGAAGAGGGCACGATCTGAGAAATTAAAGAAGCAAGAACAATGAAGACTACCAAAACAAATTTATTAAGATAAAAGCAAAAAGGGGGAAAGAAAGGGAGTTTGGCAGATCTGTGCTACCTCACAGCTGGAATAATGGTACAGCTGGAATAATGGTACATCTGGAATTTGCAAGACTTCATCTTTCCATTTTCTTTCAAATTACAAATTGATAACAAGTGTTTCTTTTTGTTCATATACATTTATAAGTCTACCATTTTAATAACGGCATCTTTTTCCAGCCTTACTGACAACTGCAAACCTTGGTTTATTCCTCCTTTTTCTCCTTCCATCTAACTTCTTTTGGAGCTCAGCTTTTTATTCTCAGGATCTTTTAATATCAATGTGAAACATATGACTGTCCTTGGCATTAAGTTTTAGTATTAAATTTCGTTTATAGTATGATGTGAGTCCTTATTAGAACATTTTCCCAGCTCCCCAGCTTTCAGCAACTACACAAATGAAATCTCAGTTTGCACATGTCTCCCTGGAAATATATGCCAGGTCTTTTAAAAGAAAGTGGTTTTGTGGGAATTTTTTTAATATACTGAAACCTCAACAACCCAGAGCAATTCAAAATAAGCACTATCTGCAAGCACAACGACAGCCTAAGTGTTATCACTGGGAGACCAGCATGGGCAAAGTTCCCTCTAGCACACAAATTAGTGGCTGCCATCCAAGGACAAGTGGGTAAATGGTAAAATTCAAGTGACAGTTCTTCTAAGGGCATGTTCTTGAGACCAGTGAAGACAGGTAAAGCCCTTGTGTTGTGTCAGATAGCTCTGGATCAGAACTCGGTATGTATACTGCACAGCCACCTCCGTTTTGTCACTTAGAGTGCTTGCATTACAGTGACTTAACCTTTTAACAACTGTTTCAGAATTACAATTTTGCCAGTTTTAGTCTGGAAAAAAACAAAAATTTCAAATCATGTTCGTATCCTTGTCCCCATATCAGCACTCCAGTCATCACCTATATTGATACAAAACTGGCAAAATTTCTGGTCTTGTGCTTTACATGCAATTGTGTCCACTCCCTGCTCTATTACACTCATACTCATCCCTTCATCTTTACCAAAACAGGAATACACACATTAAGACAGAAAAAGATTTACCTAATATTAAAAAAAAAAAAAGAGGAAAAAAAGTAACAACTGTAGTTTTTAAGAAAGATCAGCTTTGTCCTGTCATTGATTAATGTGAAACAATTTATCAAAGCTATTATGGAAAACTCTGATATTTTCCTAGAAATGAGACATGAGAAATTAATAATTTCTAATTCTGTAGGTGTCAGACCATGGTGTCTTGCTTATGCAGACCTCTACCACAAGAATATGAACTCTGTTGTTGCAAACCTCAGAAACAACTGCAAGGCAGCCCTAATCAGAGACACACCAGTAGAAGAGAGAGAACCACCCAAAGAACCTTCCTCACATCATAGGGAGCCCTTGAGATGACTTGTTCAGTGTACAGAGACTAGAACTTGCACCAAGAGGGGCTTTCCAGGTTGGAAAGCTGCTGTCTAATAGCATGCCCTTGTATGGGCTTGCAATGGTTTGCACCCCTCAACTGAAGCATGTGCTCCTTAGGGCAACGCTTTTGCCAATTTTTAGGCAAACACCATTACAAGAACACCTTGGGACTGACTACTGACAATTTGTGGTTCAACGCTCCAGTTTCCTGCAAGTGATGAGACAGAGACACACTGGAAGACAAAGGAAAGTCAGTCTGTACCTGGGTGGTTGTGTGGTTGACTATGGCCTTCCCAGGGGAGGAAGGTGCTGACTGCTGCATTGTGAGGATCTGCTGTCCTAACGCTACATTCAGTGGGACGCCCACCGTCTTCTGGGGGGAGTTGGGAGGCTGGGAGGCCACTGACACCACTGTTAGCTGCTTGGCAAAACAAAGAAGCAGTTTAAATCTCTGTGCAGGAGACAAGACCCTGCACATACACATTCCCCTTCTCATGAAAGTACAGTTCACCAGTACAAAGAGTTCTTTCTTGAACAAGGGTGCTGTATGTAATCACAACTCACACAGGTCTGATTGTGCAACAACAGCACACAGACACATTAGAAACTTCAAGGCACTGCTGCTTTCCAGGACCAAAAGGCTCCTGCAGAAAGCTAGCACAGCTTCTGCTTGTTTGGTTTGGTGGGATCTTTTTGTCTGTTTTGGAGTCTTGGGGGTTTTTGTTTGCTTGGGAGTTTGGTTTTTTTTGTTTCTTGTGTTTTTTTTTTTTTTTTTTTTTAAAGGAAACTAGCCCACTGAAGCCTAAGCATTGTCAGGATGGATATTCTGAGTAACAGCTCAGTACTATGACTATTTAATCATAGAGGGAAATTTTAAAGGAGAGCTGTGGAAAAAAAAATATCTCACTTTACACTACTGATTCAACTAAAGTATAAAAACATCAGCATTTTCAAATCTACTTTCCAGATGCCCACAGAAACCCGTTCTTCTGACTGCATTACTGCAGAGTTTGAACACTCTATGCTATATAGCCCGTTGGTGACCGGTCACAAGCGGTGTCC